AAAATATGTTTGTAAGCAACATTTGTTTACCCGAGAGCTTTTTTACAATGGAAATGGGGAAATCCGGATTTGCCAGTTGTCTCCTTTAAAAAAAAACTTGGTTTTCAGTTAGTGTTGATTGTCCTGGCTCTACAGATTTGGTAAGTAAGTGATCAATGTGCTTTATTTATGTTTATTCAGATGGCAAATTTAGTTAGTATCATCAGCAGTACTCGTTCAGTTTTTAAAGACATACCTTGGTCAAAATGATTTAGTTACTATGTTTACAGTAATATCACTACAATATTATGGACTGAAAGATCTGGGGCCTCATGTGTTAACGCTGCATACACACAAAATCTTTGCGTACGCCAGGTTTCATGCTCACGTTTGGATTTACTAATGATGAAATGAACGTGAGAATGTGCATTGTTCCACGCCAACTTCATGCCTGGCGTACGTGCATTTCTTGTGGGTGTTTGTTTTATTTCCATTGGCGACTCCTAGAGACCGTTGTGTTAAATTGCAATTCAATGTGTCTGAGCCGTGCAATGGCAGCTGTATGAGACGGGATCATCCGCATGTCTAGCAGGTATATAAGGTTTCCATACCATGCAGTTGACCAGCCAAACATTAAAGCCCAATTTGCAGCAGTCGCTGGTTTGCCCAATGTAATCAGAGCAATCTTCTGCACACACATTGCTATAAAGGCACCATCTGAAGATGAATTTGCATACATGAACCAGAAACATTTCCATTCAATAAATGTGCAAATAAAATAAGATGCAGAGACTTAATAATGATTACTACTTAATAAGAAAAAAAAAAGAATGAGTTCATCAGACGCTGGAATCGAACCGAGTTCATGCTCGAAAGTGTCAAAACATGTTGCTATGCATTTTACAAGCTACGCCCCTCAAGCTGTTAAAGACGCGATAAAATTTTACAGCTTTATATCACACTATTTCTTTTTTAATCTACTCAGTGCGATGTTCAGACCCAACTGTGTTAACAGCATCAGCTAAACTCTCCCACCTTTTGTTGTTAATTCCGGAGGACAAACTTGCAACTTGGCACTGTTTTTCTCTGGTCTACCTCCGAAAGCAGCACCTCCAATTCACATTCTGTTCAGTTTCTCTTTTGGCTTGCTTTTGCCATTGCTTTTTCATTGGGTTTTGCCAAAGTAGAGTCATTAGCATATTCATACAGGGGAGGAGGCAGGGAGGGGTTTTGTGCTCATGCATGTTGCGATCAGTTTCATGTTCATTCGGATGTACAAAGAGAATATGCGTGTGATTTGTAGTACGCAGTGTTTCATACATCTACATTTTTTCTGCGTACGCACATTTACAGCTTTGCGCGCAAGCAATTTTTTAGTAGGATTTCAACTCAAGTCTTCGTACATGAGTCCCCAGCTGTATTGGCTGCTCTCCGAATGTAAACACCTTAATCAAACTATTATCATCTTGTAGGATTTTTGCCACATTTTGTCTATTCACACACGTCCGTTTGACAATATTCTCTGCACCTACCGAGTCTCTGCATCTACCAAGAAATGCAGAGGGTTTTTTTTTTCCCCATATGGCGTGCAGTATCAAAAATTCTATTAAAAAAACACTCTTCCAGCAGTCCCTCGCATCATATATATTGTATGTCACGAGTGGAATTAAATGTTCATAAAATGTGCATAAAATGTTCCTGAATGAAAGAGTGTAAGTGCCAAACTACAGTTAAAGTCGACAAACTAAGAATAAAACGCCCAAAATTACATGAAACTCCGGCGGAAATGTGGATAGCGTGGCAATGATGCATTGATGTTAAACGAATTATGTGATGTAAAATGGGATCATGAAAGCAACATTCGAAAAGCAACTCCTTAATCATATTATTGTCTTATTCAGTTTAAGGAAAATAATTTGATAACTGATGTCCATGTAAACGTAGTCACTGTCAAGCTCCCCTGCATCTCAGTTGCCGCTGTGGAAATCAGTTATAGTGCATGTACTGAAACTCCCCTTTTCATGCAAATCCTTCCCTCTTTCACCACTCGACACTCTTACCTAAACAAAGCAAAACTCTTTCCTGAATTTTTTCAAACTAAAGGTTTAAAACACCCTACCGAGACAGGGAGGGTTCCATGGCAAAGGTTTTTGGTTCTTTGTAAGCCTAAATAAATAAGAGTTTCTATTGTTATACTGAATGAGTTTAAGTATAAAAAATGGCAAATCAGTACTGACAGTCACTGACTGCTCAAAAAAAGCTATAGTATATATATATATATATATATATATATATATATATATATATATATATATATAAAATAAGAAATAATGAACAAAATAATTTGAAAACTTTTACCCAGGAGAAAAAATAAAAACAGTATTATACTCTGACTGTTTGACGCTTGAAAATTTTTGCATCCCATACAGCAGCATGTAATGTTGCTTACCCTAAAAGAAAGAAACAAAGTGAACTGGGGAAAGTCGTTTTAACTGTTATAACACTCAGTTCTACTTGTCTAATAATAATGGAGATCTGGGAACAGCTGCAAAGGGATATTTTTGGAGATTGGCTGCAAAAAAATGCACTTACATCAGAGAGTCTATACAGGGCCTTTGGGGCCCGTGCTCTCCATAAAGAACTCACAAACCAGTGCTCAAGCTCATATAACTTACTGGACTCAATTACTATTACTAATCAAGCACATATGTGAGATCACACTTGATGTCATTGGAAAAAAAAAACAGCTTTTTGTTTGTGGCAATTGGCAATACAAATCTTGCATGTAGCACTGCAGACTAATGGCAATACTGCTTGTAGTAAACAAGTTGTGGTCACATCGTCCTTTTGCTGAAGAAATAAACATTCAGCATTGGCAGCATTGATGCAATATAGCCAAGCTTTAACAAATCAATATACCATCTACAAACAATCAATCAATCAATCTAGCCAATGTGTTATTCCATGCCCAAATGCTCATTGCTGTGCTTTGCAAAGAGCATCAATGAATCGGCTCAACCATTGGTTCATCATGAGTTCTGCTCAACAGGTTTAGACTGGGCATGAAGTCAGAGGAAGTGAACGGAAAATGTGTGGAATCAGAAGCTGTTAAACTACTTCCCCACTAAGCCAAAAAGGACATTATGTAAGAAAAAAAGATATACGAGGAGGAAATAAAGAATTCATTCAGTGAGCAATTATGAATCGCTTCCTCTGCTAATCAAAAGCAAACCAGATGACAGCAGGAGAGGAGCTGTTTTAGGTCAATAAAAAGACAAATGATCAACCGTAACATGTTAACTGCCAATTCAGGCAAGGATAGTGGAAAAGGAGATTGAGAGGACCAAACCTAAAGGGTAAAACAAGGACAGGCTAGAAATATGGAAATACTCAAGAAAACGCCGACCCCATCCTTTTGCTTTCACAAATTTTGAAGTGGTTTCATATTGAGCTGATACATATATTGAAGCATTGGATCAAAATTTCAATTTTCTGAGGAAAAATGACAAATAAAACAGGAGAACGCAAGCTAAACAGTCTAAAAACATGTGCTAAATTATGTTATCTACATGATAACATTGTCAAAAATGCTAATAAGCTAACACATTAGCATTTTTAGCACTTAGTATGAATGCAGAGAACTAGCTATTTTGGGACATTTGAAGATATTGGTGGATTGAAACAACATGAGTGTAAGTAATTATTTTGGGTTAAGTATCCCTTTAAATCTTTTACATGGCCTAAAACTACTGTCAAATTGCTTCTAGATGTTACCAAACCAGCTTTGACTGGTCCAGTGTAGCAGGTAGTTTACAAAATATAGATAAAAGAAGCAGCTGCTAATGGGGAATCTGTATTTCTATACTACCAAAACAACACCAAACTTGAGGACTATGTCGACACCTCAAGGTAACATGAGTTTAATTTTCCGCCTTGAGGTCCTATGCCAATCCTTTCCCTCTCTCAGCTCCCCACAATTTACCGTATACTCTCTACAGTCCTATCTATAAAAGGTCCACGGAAAGTTTATCAGTATGGGAACAAACAGTAGCTGTGCATTTACCCTACAGCAGGGATCACCAAATTTGTTCTTGGAGGTCCGCTGTCCTGCAGATTTTAGCTCCAACTCTAATCAAACACGCCTGAACAAGCTAATCCAGGTCTTACTAGGTATACTTGAAACACCCAGGCAGGTGTGTTAAGGCCAGTTGGAGCTAAACCCTGCAGGAAACCGGCTCTCCAGGACAGTTTGGACACCCCTACCCTATAGTCATCAATAGATAATGGCAAATTTTAAACATGTTTGCCCTTAAAACGGATTTATCTATTTTTATATTTAGCATTGAAAAAGTAGCTGTTGTACTAGGCAAATAACAATTTGGGTCAGGTTGGATACAGTGTTTGCACTTATAGTCTCTGCAAACAGTCACTTACTGTCACAAAACTCAGAAAGTTAATGGACGTCTGATCAATACTGTAAAGTGACTGGTTATGATTGAAAGGCATACATGATTCAAAGAGATAAGCATAGCACTCTCATCTCCCAATGCAAGTATTAAACCTCTGCTACTTAAGAAGGGGGGCTCCAGGAAAGTGAATTGGCATAAATGATCCTGGGTGTTTTCTGAGCTGGAACAGTAATCTATTCTCCAGCACCCAGCTTCTCTCTGCATGCAATTTAACTAAAAAGGTAGTTTAAGCAACAAAGATCCTAAATTTTATGCAAGTCATAATTCAATCTACATCAGCATATTGGAAGAAGACAAATTCAGATCATGCACATTATTGATCACTGGCTTCATTTACAGAATCCCTTCACTCAAAAATAACTACTGGACATAGAAAAACATTCAATTCTAGTATCAATATCTGCATTTGGCAGGTAAACTAAAGCAGCACGGCAATGCTGATGCAAAAAAAAATTTAAAAATTCTTGGACATAGAACTCTGCTGACACACTGTGGTGAAAAGCATACAGTGCATCTCATCGAGATCCAAAACAAAGAATCAAAAAGAGTCCATTTAGAGAAATTACAGCTTTATTGAGTCACAATGTTTAAAGAATGGAAGCTGCGATGAAAAGACTAGAGCCAGGTGAATGAATGGAAAGATCAGCCTATCCATTCCTTTCTAACATCAACCTCACCCGTCCCATTAGCTGGGGTTAAAGAGAGAGGTGTCATAAAGAGGACACTGGACACTGCTGTTCTGTTACACACATTCAAACGGCACAACTGGCATTCTGGGCTCTCAACTGCTGGACCAGAGAAAGCTGCTCAACCCTTTCTCAGATGCAAGCGGGAGAACCAGACTGCCTTTATTTTCTCTCCCTCAGTCTGCTGGTTTTGAGCAGAAGAAAGAGTTTACACCGCACACACATCATCCATTTCATTCATAATTATCTGCTGCCTCTAAAACCATGACACATGTTGTGCATATTCTATTGAACAAAGAACCAGTCTAACTTACTCTAACCGGCATATGCTCACCGCATTCAGGAGAATCACCCACTAGAGAAAACCCTACGCTAATTTCACCAGGCATGTCAATGTTACACAGATGTCCTATTAAAACTAGATGATTCAGATGCGGACAGTACAAAATAAACACACGAAAATATGAAAAGAAAAAAAATATTCACTTGAAATTTGGATGACTGCATTTAAATCTGACACTAAATAAATATTGATTGTACCATTAAATATCTCAATTTAACCTACGTCCCCGGGATACATTTGTGACAGCGTGTCCAGATTTGACACGTTTTGTCAGATGGCTTAAACGAAAACATTTGATTGTCATTTTAGGATCTTTATGTTGGGTAGATCGGGAACTCATTGGAATGTTTTCTTAGGCAACCCGGCTTTATTTTAGCATGTGGCCACAAAATGCAGAACCTTATAAAGATGAAACAATTAAGCTCTGGATAAGGTTTCAAACTATTTTCTAGCAGGGAAAAATAGTCATCAGAACTGTCTGTGGTCAAACCTTTTTAGGGGGAAAACTAGTTCACCCAAAATTGTATTCATTATTTATTCACCTTCATGTTCCAAGTCTGTATGCTGTTATTTTTTTAGAGGAACAGAAAATAGTCTTTTTTCATATAAACCCAAAAACTATATTACTCGTCAAGTTTTTAACCTTTAAAAGTATTTTCACAGAAAAACATGTTATATTTCTACTCAATATTTTTTGATGTCCAGTACAAATACCTTTACATTCATTTTTCAGCACACAGATAAGATTTACCCTAAATTGAACAAGAAAATGCCTTTCAAAGTTGTCTATTGTCTGTAGAAGAGTGAGTTATTTCAACAGAAAATGTCCACTTTCTTTTCCCCATTAACATTTTGTCTATTTTAAGCATAAATACAATCTTGTTAATCTTATTAATACAATTATGTTAACTTAAGAAAGCAGTCATCACTATGCTGTGTTTAAAGGTTAAGTTTTTAAAAAAATCCCTTTTTGCAATGGTTGGGTTTAAAAGACCCCAGTGAAAAAGAGCAACTCTGCATGATGTTTTTATAGTCATGGTAACTATGATTTGTTGTATAAAAACCTATTCCTTGGTTTGTGTTTCACAATATCGCAGCACACAGATTTAAAGCAACATGAGAGTGAATAAATAAAAGTTTGGGTGAAATATCTACTTCAAGAACAACTGGTAAACGTGAAAAATGGCTCAGCCTAAAAAAAAAAACAACAGAGTGAAGGGGTGTGTGCCTGAGCTGAAGAAAAGAATGATAGATGTAAATACATTTGCTTGTTGTCCATTCCATCTCCCACCAGGTAAATTAAAACATTTTTGGTCTGTTGCTCTCAGCCTTTTGGCTGAACAGGGGGAGGAAATGGACAGCAGGAGTTAGCCACATATTACGCTGTGCTTCACACAAACATAATGGACACGCACACGTTCAAATCAATCATTCTCACTGAGGATATGATGAGGGTCAGGAGTAAAGAGACTCTCTGTGGCAGTGTGCAGTTCTTATGCCAGCTGCACCTCAGGAGGACTGGCATTATTGTTGCTCCCTTCCTGCACGCTGACCACTGAGCCACGGTACGGGACCTCTATGATCCGAGGTTTGTCAATGATGCGGGCGCAGCGATTGCCCTTCTCCACGATGCCAATGATCCAAGCTTGTTGCCCATCGCCCACCCCTCCATCCTGCCCAGCTCCCAGCAAACCCATGCGGCTGGATTTCATCTCTGCGCAAAACCGGGCTGCTTGCTCCCGTGGCAAACAGATCAACAGACCACCTGAGAGAGGCAGGAAAAAGATGTGAATCGAACCAAGAGCTTGAAGGAAACTTTACGACTACGAATGCCCATTTTAGGAACGTCAATAAATGTTAAAATATTAATACGGCAGCAACCAGACCAAAGGAGGCTTTAATGTGCTTTTTAAAAAAGGTACAATTGTACACAATTTAGGACTGTCATTTAGGATGGTGCTGCGAAACTGATGGATATATAGAAATTTTAATATGATATGAGAATGAATTTTATAATTATTTACAAAGAAATGACCCAAAACGGTTTACGTTAGGTCTTTAAGTTTCATTATAACTGCGACAGACAGACAGACAGTACTGATATATATGGAGCAAATGGATCCCAACACAAAGTTATTAGTGGTTTGACTGTTGATTATTTGTTTCTCGCATTTTCTCTACCTCCATTTTATTTGTATTTATTTTATTTCTTAATTTTATGATTTAAACCTATTGTTATTCATTTTATATTTGTACAATAAGAGTAAACTTATAAGGAAACTTGTATCTACTTGTATTTGCTTATGTGTGGATGTAGGTTTATATATATTTATATATATTTGTATATATTTAATGTTCTGAGTAAAAGGTCAATAAAAAGATCTCAACAAAAAAATTAAATAACTGCAAAAATTGAAAGAAGGTTATCTGATCATTTTTTAGTCAGTGTGTATTGGGCCGTGACTCTCACCTGATGTTTCGGAAGATGTGCCCTGCAAAAGCCCAAACAGGTTTCCACCAGCTTTGCTGATCGCGGCCATTTTAGAGATAATGGGAAGGTTGTGAATGACAAAGGCAACATCGTTTTTCTGCTGCTTGGCCAGATTTCGTGCATGACCAATGATCCCAAACCCAGTGATGTCTGTGGCAGCGTGTGCATTAAATTTGTGCATTAAGGCAGCAGCTGGAGTGGGAGAAAAAATAAATATTTACAAATCATTCAAAACCAGCTTTCCTTTACCTCATCATTGTGTAAAGTACACTCAGAGGCCATTTGAAATACTACAAAGTTGCAAAACTATGTGAAGTGTGTGTGCTGAAAATTAGCCCCATTGTTTAAATAAATCCACGTTAAGACTGCTTATGCAGTGACATACCAGTGCGATTGAGGGTGGCCATATTGAGCATAGCCTCCTGATAGGCTTGCTCCACTTCCTCCCTGGAAATCACCAATTTTATCTTATTCCATTTCTCAGGCTAAAAAAAAAAAGAAAGAAAGATGCATGTGATTACAGAGATTTAATACAAGGATGCAAGGTTGTAATCTTTACAAATGATTACTTTACTAAATTCTTCACAAAAATAGTGCAAGTCAGTTGCTGTGAAATATACTCACTATATCCAGCCACTGATGGGCATTCACTGCTACTTGAGTTCCCAGAGGTTTTGTGAGAACCAACACATCCCCAGGTACAGCCCCGTCAGGCCTACATATATATTAAAACAAATATTGAAAGGTCACACAGTCAGCATTTGCTTTCATAACTCATGTATGTTAGTTAAGGAAAACTGGTTCATTCAGATCCATATGTGTGGATTTGACTTCTTCATGAGAGAGCAGACAGAAACACTCACAAAATGAAATCATTGGGCTGGCAGACCACAGAAGCCACGCCCCCAATTATGATCCAGGGATTGATGACTGTTTGTCCTCCAGTGACTGAAGTCCCGCCTTCCTCCGCCGCATCACGGAAACCCTTCATCATTAAAGGCAACACCAAATCTCTCTCCTGAGACAACATCGGCAAGCAACACATACAGTTAACCACTTAGCCAGGGTTCCCACTCTATGGAAACTGTCAAAGTCTTACTGACTAAAAGGATGAGCTTTCATAACATATCCACCGTATTTTTCATTTAAGAGCAGCATGGCCATTGTAACTTAAATGTAACTTTAAAAAAACTTACAATCTCATTCACTTCCTTTTAAAAGCCTTTATTATGGGTTTTTAAAAATTTACTTCCGCACAGTGTGCTACACATCTCTAAATGAATGAAAACATCCAGCTGAGAGTCAAGTCTGATAGTGCAACGTGTTTAACAATTTAGATTTTTAAATAAAAGATTCAACTCAGAGAAGTTTAAATGATTCATCGTTCATCCAGGTCTTTTGCCTGTTCGTATCAACATCGACACAAAACAATACTAAATATGAACTACCGGATCTGATAAAATGTTAACGTGGCTTTTCCTTCAGACACTAGCGGAGTGCGAAGGATCATGTGATTGATCCTGATGCAAAGATCCGTATCACTGAGAGATGGCTAGACATGCTTCAGTGGGGAATAAAGGGTTCAAGTTCATTTTCACAATAACACCACCACAGTAATGCCAACCTAGTGCTATTATTTTTCTAGTTTTTGATACAATAACCTTCCCTGCAGCGTGGGATTCGCCTTCCATTTCTTATTAAAGGAAGGATCGGCAAAGACTACTAATGTATGGGACTTGCAGAAATGCAGTTTGTATGGACCAGTTTCTTCTTCCTCCAGATCCTGTAAGTGTTTCTTCTTCCTACACAATGTAAAGTGTGCTTAAATGGTTCCCTGCTTTTCTGTAGTTTGCAAAATATGTATTTATAGTGTGCTGTAACTTGTAATTGCTCCCTGTGGCTTGTAAAAGTGTATCTGTTATAGATCAGTGCTTGTACTGTATCTCTCAGGTTAACATTTTATGGACATATCATGTCTAAAACTACATTGAAAACGTGGCGCATGCTTTTTCCTTTACCGATTTAAATGTGTTATGTTCTCGTTATCCCCTGCTGTTTGTTGCTCCGGCCACTACCAGCTGTTCCTCACATGTGCAACGCGATTCATTTTCAAAATAGTTCAACTTTTGCCACAGTGTGGATTAATCCTGAATGTGTGTCATTGGTATTACTGGGGGTTGTGGTTAAGAATAGAGGAATAGGCTGGTGTTTAACTGCTTTGCTTTAATGCATTCTTGCATTGGGCTCACGCATATACTCTGATCACTACTTCATAACCGTATTGGGCGTTTCTCTCCTTCTCGCTATGGACAAAGTCAGCCGATCACAACAGACTGGGTCATCAGACCAATCAGCGCAGATTAGCCTTACGCAAAGAGGTTTGGGAACAAATGAATTGCTGAACAAATCATATGGGAGTCGTTGGGATAATTAGGTAAAAATAAATGCATATTATAAAGACAATGAAAGTGTTTGCCCTTGCATGATTATCAGCCTGTTGTTGGAGACCCCCAAAACCAAAATATGACCTATTATAATGCATAATGGGAGATCTTTAAGTTTTATCAAAGCAAATCAACTTATGCTGCTTAATGTTTAAACTCATGTTTTAGTACATTTGTTTGCCGGTTGACAAGTGGGAAAATAATAAAATGGCATGAAAAAAGACAACAGCAATAAGCAAAACTTGAAAAATAACATGAAATAAATTATAAAATAAAAAAAATACAAAACAAAAATCCACGATATTCCATTACTTGGTCAAAAAACAAAAGCATATAAAAATTCTGTCACTTTCAATGTCTGGTTTCAAACTTTTATAATTAAACGATATTCCAAATATTCCATGACCTGTGGGAATGCCGCTTAGCTTTCTGAATCTGCAAAAATACGTACAAATATTTAAATAAAATCTATCCTAACTTCACCTTCTCGTTCATCTTCTGACTGACACTGAGGAGCATGAGCATGTTGTCACACTCTGTGATGCCCATGGCGTACAGATCACTCAGGACATTTGCACAGGCGATTCGTCCCTGTAAAAAAAAAAAAACAGAGATGAGCTTCATACATACAGTATGTGAGGTGCTTGTAACATTAACAGAGTGCACCCACCATCATGTAAGGGTCCTCCACTAAAGGATAGAAGAAATCTGTGGTTTGGACCAGGGAGAGACCTCCATGTCTTAGTGGGATCACACATGAGTCCATTCCAATACCTGAACCAAGAAAGAACATAATTATTATTTTTTTCATTGATATCCATTACATGTGAAAAAATGCATGCACATTTAAATAGCACATACTATTGTGATTAAAAATAATTTTATAATACCACGGAGTAAGAAACATGTAATCAGGATTTATGATTTGTTCCCAGAAATAAGCATTGACTAAAACTTAGGTGCATAGTTCACATCTCTTTTAAATGACTGGGTTATATCGATAGTTAATAATGGTTTTAAATTAACAGGATGAATCAAAGGTTAAACAAAGTGCTCAGTGAAACAGATGTTTTCTGATCCTTCAAGACAGATTAATGATGGTTTTCTAAAATACATTAACAAAATAACTTTGCAGTTTTATGTTTGACATTACAAGAGATTACAACACATGCTATGCTGAATCCACAGAACACAAACGGTTGTTGGTGTGTTTTGGCAAGTTTACAGGAAACAACGTTGCACCAAACTATTGCATATAAACAGGTTTGACAGTAGTGATAATCAACCGGTTTTGCAAAGACAATAATTGGAAACCTTTTAATTGTCAGTTTTTATAGCAATTCCTGGAACTCATTTCGCGAATCGGTTCTTTTGAACAGGCTTTGTGAACAGAAGGTGGTAATAAATGTTTTAATTTTGCAAGTCTATCATGCAATAAGTTTACATCGTGTTTTTTTTTTTTTTTATAAAAACTTTGCTATTCAGCCACTTAATTAACCTAATTAACAGTCAAACCCTCACTTAACGTCAAATGCTCTTTCTCCAGAGTATTAAAACTTCATCTTTTGCTGTATTTTATTAACATTTCTTGTATTGTTTTGGCATTGTTTGCCTTTTATCTGTGTTGTATAATTTGTTTTACTTGTGTAAAGCACTTTGCTCAACCTTGGTAACGTTAGTAGTAAGGTGCTAACTTAAGGTTATAAAAAAAAAAATTTTGATTGAGTCTCTTGATTCAACCGATTCGTTTAAAAGATCCGATTCACAAGAACTATTACCGAATCAATGCTCGCTATTTGACAGCGTCGGTGTGACAGGTCATACTTTACCTAGTCGAGGACCCTGAGCAGCCGAAACAAGCCCAAAGTCAGCGGTTTCGTCTCCAACACCCGTCCCCAAACCGCCATCCTCTCCGGGCGGCCGGTCAGGCTCCAGTCCCTGCAGGAGTTTGAGCAGAGTCTCCTGCGGGACTTTACACCCTCATCCTTTCATATCAGAGAAGGCCGTGAGTCGGAAGCCGCGGTCTAGGCCGTGCTCCTCCGGGTTCAACGCCTGGTATCCCGCCGGGTAAAAGACTGCATACCCTCCCGCTCCACCAGAGTCCCCTGACGGTGGCTCGGAACCCGACATGGTAAAATCAGTATGTATTCCTCATGCAGATGAAGAGGTGGTAAAAGAAAAAAAGATGAGGCGTTTTACGAAATGACTGATCCTGCCGGAGAGAGCAGAGAGCGTGTTTGATGTACACGCTTAAACACCGAGAGCAGTAGAGACGCTCCGCGCTTGCGGACTAAACCATCTCACTATCCTGAGGAGAGCGCGGTGTTACTTTCAGACACACGTTACAAAGTTCGTCGTTAACAGATAAAAGTACTGTTGAAATATACAGTACATAAAAAACGAGGTGCGTGAAAACTCATCTTGCACCAAATTAAACCATCGCTGACTCGTTTTGGACTTGCCTGGTCACATTTAATCCCCCTCTAAAAAAACAAACATGGCACAATCTCAATTGTGAGCTCCCTATTGTGGTTCTACAATAAAGGTGCATTAGACGGTTGTGTTCATGCAAATTTACACAAAAAAGGTACTCGAGAAAAATTACCGTGCTTTTCATTCCTTAAAGTATTGCAATTAGTCTGTATACACGCCAACAAAATTAATAATATGCGAAAAGTGGCTAAAAAAGTTGGAGAAATTATTCAAATGCACTTAACTATGTATACACTGGCACGCACATGCTTTAATATGTCTCCATGGTCATGTATTAATACTGTACAAACTGGGCTTTCTAGCCGCCAACCAACCCCTACACATGACGCTCAGAAAACTGGACAAAAATTTTAACTTTACCATGATTTTGAAGTCTTTTGGTTTATGAGAGGAATCACAAATAATGTTTAGATTGGTATACCCACGTCATTGTTTCCATTCAAACAACACATTGAAACACGCACATAGAGTAAAAGTATACATAGAGTAAAAGTGATTAATTAAACAAGCTTCAAAAATGTGACAGAAAAACTTTCAGAAAAGTTGTTTATTCCCACATTCAATGAATTTCATCGATATTTGGGACACTCCAAAAACACAGAACTGGACTTTGATGATGAGGAGTCACCGATAATCACCTCAGAGCTTTTGAGGTTTAAAATTAATAGCACAAATGAAAAATTCTGTCCTTTATTTGACAATATCAGATTAAAAAAAAAAACAAAGCAAACATAACACCACTTTATAATAATTGTCTTTGTCCATATTTTGATCTGTGTCAGGTTCTAACTATGGTTTCCGTGGCAGTAAAATCTGCACATTAAATGTCAAATATGTAATGGAGATGAAGATGTAATGAAGACCAGTTTGAACAATGGAAATGGCAATTCTTCTCTTCTTAAGCCTGGATGGCACTTTTGGTGCTGTAGGCCAGGTAGTAAACCATAATGCCAATCAGTGCAGCCAAGACCTCCGTTGACACCCATGGACCATTCCACGCACCCTGAAATTCAGAAATACATTAAAAAACAAGCACTTCAAGGAGCAAATCTGCAAACTAGTAGTAGAAATGTGTGAAATCCTGTAATAAGGTATATTTTCTAAGTGCTAGTGTAATGAAAAAGTAATTACTTTGTTTATGATTAAGAATTATTTAGTTTTATTTTCTGCGTGGTTTGATTTTGTTGAATGAATTAAGTTATGGTTGGGGACTTTAATTATGACACGGATAACAGAGCCTACCAATATATGACTCCTATATTAATGGATGTGAAGCAAAGCACGTCAGGGATGGAATACAATCTCATGGATTCCCCTATTTTTGAGTTTTAGCTCCTGGTTTACCGAAAATAATGAGGTCATTTTGATTGATTTTTTTATAATTTCATATTAATGTTTTTTTTTTTTATGTTGGTTTAGTGTTTTAACTTTAAGGATTCTTTTGTGTTTGTTTTCTCTCTAGTTCTTACAGGGATTCATGATGCTATATTGTGTAATAGTTCTATTGAATCTGAATAAATCTGATGTGAACCATCAGTGTTTGAGAGTCAGTCATCTTTTAACCAGGACGCTACAGTAAGATCTTATTTCATGCAAAAAAGTTCAAGTAAACCTACATAAAGTGGTGGGAGATTCAGAAGTTTGGGGTCAGCAACTTTGAATAAGGTTCTGCTCCATTTGAAAGGTATAGTAAAAGTCATTCACTCATTCATTTTCCTTCAGCTTAGTCCCTTTATTAATCAAGTGTTGCCACAGCAGAATGAACCACCAACTTATCCAGCATTTGTTTTATGCATTGGATGCCCTTCAAGCTGCAACCAGGCACTTGGAAACATTCATTCACTCTCATTAACACTCATACACAACGGACAATTTAGCTTACCCAATTTACCTACAGCGCATGTCTTTCCCGGAGGAAACCCACATGAACAAGGGGAGAACATGCAAACTCCACACAGAAATGCCAACTGACATAGCCAAGGCTTAAACGAGTAACCTTCTTGCTGTGAGGCGACAGCTCCAGCGAACTTATTTCATTGATAATCAACTTTTAGGTTCTTCTTAGGTGTACTGTTTGTTGTTGATGGAGATCAGCATGTTCACTCACCCTGTGATCCACGTTTACAGAGAACAAAGGCTTGATGGCGTCGACATCTTCATTGTTTCTTTGAGCCTGGAAACACATTCAGCAGAAAAGTTGGAACAAATTCGGCAAAAACAACAATTTGGTCATTTTGCACATTCCTCAAGTTATTCCAAACCTGCAGTTGTTTCTTATGCATAAAGGATGTTAAAGCATGTTATTAAAGATTTCTGGCCCCATGTAGTTCACTTATGTGGGGGGAAGCTTTAGTGAAGAAAGTGGAGGGTGAATGACAATATTTTGTCCTTTTGATAAGGATCTGTAATCCCATCCAGCACAGTAAATGCCACAATGAAACAAAAAAAAAAAAGAAACTTAACTCTTTAAAGTTGAAAAATATATGCAAATACATAAGTTTACTGTGAGGTTAGGAAGACTGACCATTTTAGGTCCTTCACAGTAGTGGGCAGAGCTACATAACCACTTAACATGCCTCTACTGTTTTTGGTGCAATCTTTTGTCCAGCACCATGAGTATTTTGGTATTTTTCCTGCACAAATTCCACTATAAAACAGATGCGTTCAACTATATCCTATCCAATAACATTTGAGCTCACAGCAGGTCTGTTTTTTTGAAGTTTTATAATTTTAATGAAAGGAATATTTACTTCCAATACCCAACTATTGTGCTTCATATTTTCTACATTCACAGATTTGGAATGACATGAAGGCGAGTAATCAATCACTGCCAAATTTCACCAACCTTTCGTAGAGTGCTGTAAGACTCCTCGTCAAAGAACTTGACCTGATATGTGCCTGAGCTGGCCTGCTTATGAGGAACACTCCATGACACCTGGACAGAAATAAATAATTACAATGGTTTACCCATAAATGACAATTCTGTCATCGTTTACTCACTCGACTCGTTCTAAACCACCTTTTTTTGTCTGTCGTACACAAAAGATGACATTTTGAAGAGCATTGGAAACTGATAATCACTGACATCCATAGTATGAGTTTTTCTTACTAGGGAAGTCAATGGCTAAGATACCAGTTTCTAACATTCTTCAAAACATCTTTCAAAAAAGCTCAAACTGATTTGAAACAAGTCAAAGGATGAGTAAATGACAGCATTTACATTTTGAACTTAACATTTAAGTGATTTAAACATTTACTGCTCGTTGTTGAAAACTTAAGTACCCTAACCTGGTATTTGCCAACATCTTGGCCTCTGGTCACAGGGAACTGCTTGCCATTGACATCAGCGTACAGGGCGACGCTCTACAACAAAACAAAAGCCTGGTCAGTTGTTTTTAGTGTCATTAACACATACGTCTGCTCACCGACGGTTAATTCACTCACCTGAGCCCCGTTTGCACACGCCAGACTCAGTTCAACGATGAACACAGTCTCGGAGGAGATGAGCGCGTCTGTCGTCGTGTATGAAGACGGAGAAATCACCGGGTCTGTGCAAGTCTCAGCTGAGGAGGAAAATACGCATACATTATCTAAAATAACAGCTTAATGAAATCAAGTAACGTTAGACGACAGAGAAAGAAAACGGAACTTATTTACTGTACGTTAGCATGTGACACCTCATCGTTCGCGAATACCTGAATGAAGAGTGCAATATTAAATTAACGGAAAAGCTAATTACCTGCACAGAAGCTCAGACAAAGAGCCAGAAGAGTTGTTAATACTAGCTTCATGTTGATCTCCGGGCTGTTGGTTGAATCTCTACTCACTCAAACCTAAAAAGAGAGCAGTACTCGGGTCTGTTCACCCAATGAAACACAGACAGACACGTCATCTCAGCGGAAGAATGACGTGTATGAAGATGTGAAGCGAGACCCCTGCTGAAAGCCGCCGGTACTGAAAAACTGAAGTCTTCATTCGTGCATCTCTGAAGTGTTCAAACCGTCAAATTGATTCATTTATTTTCTTCGAATTAGTCCCTTTATTCATCAGGGGTCACCACAGCAAAATGAACCGCCAACTCATCCAGCATAATTTAAACGCAACCCAGTTCTGGGAAACACACATACACTATGGCCAATTTAGTTTTTTCCATTGTGGGGGAAACCGGAGCACCCAGAGGAAGCCCACGTCAACTAGTGATCTTGCGTTAAGGTGACAGCGCTAACCATTGGCACTTAGCCACCATGAAAATAACTATTACTAATATTAAAATAAATAATTTAATTTAACCAACGATATTAAAGGAGTTTGTTTATAGTCTTTGTGCATAATACTTAACAAAAATAAAATAATAAAGTTTAAAAACAAGTGAACATCAATTAAAAGTCTAGAAATGATGTGAAATGTCAGGGAATATTTTTAACAATAACAATTACCATCCCTTTAATATTTTCTGCATCTGAACATTGTTATGAGGTCATCTACAAAGTTTTTGGAACAAAGAAATAAATTAAGAAAAACATAAAACATTAGATCAACTGGTTGAAGTGATTATTATTATATTATAATTACATATATTAAAGTCCAACAATGTTTAAAAGTGTGCGAGCAGTTTGTAATTTTGCCATTTAAATAATTTTATTAAAATAATGATGGAATATTCACATTAAATATACATATTTTAAACCAAACCTATTAAGAATGGCTTTACTCCTGCAAAAATTAAACTATGCATGATATATATATATATATTTATTTATTTATTTTATTTTTATTTTTTTGATGACAACAAAACAAAATTTATTAGCAAATATTTTGGTATATGCAATTAAATCAGCTCAGTTTGATTAGATAACACATTTATTTATTTTGCACTGCATTGTGTTGTGTTTTAAGGTTTACGGTTATAAAGTATACAGTGCTCAGCATAATTGAGTACACCCCATTTTGAAAATGAATATTTGTATCCATTTCTCAGTGAACATATGCAATGTATTTTGGTGCAATTAAACCAAACAGATTCATTAAACAGATTTATTTATTAAAATAATATTTTAGTCACCAAACATACTTAGAAATATAAATATAATACAAATAAATTCAAGCTAAATAAATTACAGCCTACAAAATTTCAACTAAATCTTGCTTTTCTTGAATTTTCTCTTTTTTTAATTTGTATTTAAGATTTTTCTATAACATATTAATTTGCGTTGACTAGTTTTTGGGCCTTTATTTTGTTAGATAAGCTCCAGATTGGGCTTCAGTACTGACTAATCTAATGTATAAGCACAATTATAATATTGTATATCTTCCTATTAAAAATATGAATTTAAAATATAGATTTGTGAGGGGTGCACTTATTTATGCTAAGCACTATAGATTGTCCGTTTTGTACACAGTTTGATTATTAACTACTGAGTGTCTCTTGAAGCTAATTAGTAGATCCCTATAATATTCATACTTTTATTGAATCTCTTCACAACAATAGTCTGTACAAAGTAGATTTTTTTTTCTCATATTCACTTTGGCTGATAATACACAATAATAACAATAATATTAATAATAATAATACAGGCGGGCATGAATCCTCAAGAGTGCGCACATCCAGAGAAACAAATACCACTGGTATAAAGGAAACATTGTCACTGTCAGATGTGTGCAGACGAAAAGCAGACAAACATTCACACGTGCAGTACATTACACTATGCTGTCACAGAAAGGCAGTACAGATGAGCTTTTTTGTTTTTAAAAGAGATAAACACACTAAGTGTACGGGAACATGGTAGTGGCTCTATGGCCACATGATAAAAACATCTGCGATAGGTCTACTTTAAGTCCATCTGTAGCACGATTCACTGTTCAAAGTCCTCAAAGATAGATGTTGTTGATTTTCTGTTGTTAGAGTCCACCGAGTTGTGGGGAATAAACAATCTGAACGTCTGCTGTTCTTACTGGATGCAGTCCATGACGTGAATCTGCAGCGTATCCATGTCTGGTGCCTTGTACATGCATTTGGGGCATCTGTAATCCGGCAGCTCTTCTTGATCTTCGTCTCTTCTGCGTGCAGATGGAGGCTGGGCTGAATTGAACATCGCTGGCCCTGGGAAAGGTGCTTCAAAAAGCAGACATTTCAAAATGAGACCCCAAACATGTTCAGATTTAGATAAAAGATTATTTAAAATGGTAAAAAAAAAAAATCCTCAAGTATATTTTTGAAGATTTTAACAGAGGTATGTGTGCTGCGTATCATCATAGAAGAAAATGTTAGCATCTGTAAGATTTAACTGTTTATTGGTGATATTTTTACTTCTTTGTATAACTTCTCTAAGTGATTTCAACTTGGCCATATGTTGACTTTAAAAATAATTAATAATAAACAATTAATTAAGGCTGGTTTATACTTCTGCATTGAGTGATTGCAGTGACGCACCCTAGAGCGTAGTCATGGATATATATATATATATATATATATATATATATATATATATATATATATATATATATATATATATATATATACTTCTGCATGCTATTTGTGTTGCTCTGCAATAACACTTGAATGAATTGCTAGCTGGCAGTAAGTGTGTTAAGTTTCTCTGTATCGAGTTTCTTTGCGAGTGTTTTGTTTTTTCTGAACACCACCTTAATGTACAAGTGGCTAATGGCTCGTTTCTACGGACTGGTACAGTGCAGTACAGGTTACCTTTATTAGGCTTGTGTTTCCACTGCTAAAAGTGTACCAATGGTACTCTTTTAGTGGGTGTGGTGTACAACAAAAAGTTTCAGTCGCATCATTTTCGCTCGAGAAAATGTCTACAGTAAAGCTGTACGGGCCGCTCACTTATCATACGAGAAGCACTTCTCACAAAACAGATGCTTTATACACATAAATACTTCTGTATAAATGTTTATTACTGACTTTTCTATGAACATGAGTTTATTATAACTGCAGATCGGTGACAGTGTGAAACAGCCTACTGTAACATCTGCAACATATATGAACACATACAGACCCTTACAGTCCCTGATATGTTTCCACTTGCAGGAAAAACTACACACAGCATTCCTTTAGTCCTTATTTAAGTTCAAAACATCACTAAATATAGCCCACAGTCTGTGCAAACCTCTAATGATTAAATGTGTCTGTAATCTTCAGCAGCACATGTAGCCTCTATTAGAGAGTCATTCCATCATTCCAAGTCCATAATAGTCCAAAAGGTGAAAATAATAGTTAAACATGGCAGTTTGTTCACGTTTGCTTAAAAAAAAAAATGTGCTCCTTTTTTTCTGGCTTCTCCTTTGTTTTTTCGTGTGTCACTCTCGCGTTTGTCAGTTTCTGGCAGGATCGGGTTTCAAAAGCACGTCAGTAATCAAGCACACGCTATTATCATCAGCTCAAGAAGTTTGTATTTTCAAATATAGACACGCGGCGAGCGCAAGCGCGAAATCGCAACCGCTCGAGCTTCAGAATGGCTCGTAAAAAACTAAGGGGCACAGAATAAAATCTGCTCTTCTTTTTGGCTTTGTGGCTGTTCATCAAGGCAACTACTAGGTTTGTTTAAGCTCGGGTCGACCATGACAAGTTATTATATGCATGTATAATTACGCTGCAATCTCTCGGTTGTGTATTTAAAACATGCCGGTTCCTTTGTTTTTTTTATTCTGGTTTGTTGCACAAGGGAATGATGTATCTCTGTAAACCAATAGCGTTCAGCTGCACGTCTAGCTTCGCCTTTTGGTACCCTTTGTCGTGTTTGGTACACTTTCGAAAGGGTGCAGAAAAAGTGGTACGGTACAGTACGGTACGAACTGTACCACTCAGTGGAAACGGGCCATAAAATTAGCTTATTCAGAGGCGAAAAATCGACCGATGTGCAACAACTTTAATCATAAGGTAAACATGAAACAAAAATTTCCATTTGGAGATCCTTCACGAGACTCGACACTTGTAAACACGAGCTCGTCACTGCTACTAAGCCGACAGAGCTTCACAGAGCAATCACAATCACAGAGCTTGCGCTACGCGTCATTGCAACGTGTGGTTACATTTTTTAAGAGGTGTACATCAGCTTCGGCATCAGCCATGGCGAGGGCTATGCAAAAGCGCAAAGGCTGGGCCAGGCCATATGTGCGCGCTTGATGCAGAAGTATAAATCAGCCTAGTTTCAAGCTTAGTTTATACTTCTGTGTCGTGTGATCAGGGAGACCCTTGGCGCCTGCCTCGCGCATTGTCATGCATTTATACTTCTGTGCACTTTGTGTTGCTCTGCAGTAACACTTCTGAAACACTAGCTGGCAGTGAGGTTTTTATGTTCTTCTGTGTTGAGATTCTTTTTCAATGCTACCATAATGTACAAGTGGCTCAAACGCGCTCATTTTGAGGCAGAAATCAGCGGATATGCATTAACTTTAACCATAAGGAAAACACAAAACAGAAGTTTTCATCTGGAGCTTTATCTTGGGACTCACTCGCTCCAATGGGTTCGCGAGGCTCTCGGTCTCGCCAACACTCATCAGTTCGTCTCGCCTACATTCATTTGTCGTTGTAAAGTGTAATTACATTTTTTTGAGAGGTGCGCATCGGTGTCGGCCATGGCAAGGGCTATGCGACCATGCGCAGGCTGTGGCAGAGCATACACGTGTGCTTGACATAAAAGTACAAATCAGACTTAAATGCACGGCAACTTGCAAGGTATGCGCCATGGGTCATATTTATTGTATAAACCAGCCTTTAGAAGCACACTCATGAAGTTTACACTGACATTCCCTCGATCCCTTGGTTTTAGCCGATGGAGTGATTTGGTATCATACATACACTTCAGAACCTATATATACCTAGAATTTAATGTGATTGTGATA